TCAAATAGGACATAATATCATATCTTGGCTGACACAAATTATCACTGTTTTTGAATTAGTGCGATCAATGAATTTTGTGAATTTTATAAATCCTGTTGTTTTAACAATGGTACGTAACATGTAGAGCAAATTTATTGATCACACTAATTTGAATATAGCGATAACCTTTTTTAGTATATAATTGTTTATAATAATCGTTATTTGTTAGTGAATCTATTTACGTGGGAAAAATGTATTGAGTAGTTTTGCTATCAGTAATATAGAAAACTTGGGTTAGAATACACACATGAAAAGGAATTAGTTCACACGTTGAATATACTATTAAAATAATTTATAACTATTGAGCGTCTTTTGTTTCTAATATAGCTTAAGTTGGTTCGACTTCTTTCACAAATGATGAGATGATTCTTACATATTTACATTTCATTATTATTAACCGCCTAAGGTAATTTTACTTTGGTTTAAGTAATTTGTATAGCGATTAATACCTGAAAAATGTACAGTATTAGAATATTAATAAATAATAAAAAGATAGGATCCTTTCATATCTAATCTATTGGCATTTGATCAAAGCCAAATTAATGTTAAATTAATATGACGTAAAGAAATAACATAAATCTTAATAATTATCAATAAATTCTGCTAACTACACTTTATATATATATTTATTTAGCGCAAATATATTTAGAATCATCATTATTACGTAAAGTATGATATTGCTAACTACGTTATATATATTTATTTAATCATTGATTCTAAGAAATTATTGTAATAACATAAATTGTCGTATACTTACAAAGTTTCTTTAGCATATATAAGAGACGCACCTTTAATCTGATTTTTCTTACTCACTTTGCTTTAAAACCTTCAATTATTATTACTCATTATGATGTCCAATCAGTCTGTTAAAAAAACCCATACAGCAGTTAGTGTTAGCTTAAAAGGAGATATTTGTAAATATCATAAAGAAAATCCCAATAAAACTCAAGCACAAATCGCTGAGCACTTTAATGCCCAAGACCCAAACTGGAATCTTGACCGTTCAACTATCTCTAAAATTCTCAAAGAAAAAGATAAATGGTTGACCGTCGTTAAAGATAAAACAACCTCTGATACTTTTCATCATAAAAAAGTAAAATTTCCCTTGCTAGACCAAGCTATGAAATTATGGGTTGAGCAAATTGTTGGCAATGGGTTATTCTTAACTGAAGCGCTTATCAAAGAAAAAGCTGCTTATTTTGTTAAGGCACTTTCATTGCCTAATAATGAATTAAAATTTTCTAACGGTTGGATAAGACAATTTAAAAAACGGAATGGTCTACGAAATTTCAAATTACATGGAGAAGCAGGCAGTGTAGCAACTAGTAATCTTCCAGAATTTTGACAAAATTTACAGAATAGTATTCAAGAATATGCATTGAATGACGTATTTAATTTAATGCAGACGAAATGGGATTGTTTTTCCACATGGCACCAAATCAAATGTTAGCGTCTCAATCTCGTTCAGGGTGGAAAAAGGAAAGTAATTTTTAGTTTTATTATAGCGAACTCTCTATAAATGTAAATTTTTAAAACAAACCTTTAATAATGAGCAATAAGAAAAGTACATTTATAGAGATCATTGGACTAAATTTGTATATATGTTTAGAGTGTGTATACTCTTATTGTAAATTTGAATTAAAAATTTAGACTATTGTTAGAGATGAGCATTATATATATATAGTACTTAATTGTTATATATTAGATATTAAGGTTTATATAAGTTCACTATAGGACGATTAAGCACTATGTAGCAATAAGGTGCATAATGCCCATCTCTACTAATATTTTATACTATTATTACTATCATCTAGCTAAATTCATTTAATAGATTTAGGATCGTACTCACATTACTGTTCTTTTAGCATGTAATGCCACTGGTACTGAGAAATTAAAGCCTATTGTAATAGGATCTTCAATCGAACCGCGAGCATTATCTGGTATTAATTATGCTAATTTACCTGTAACATACCGTTCTAACTCAAAAGCATGGATGCGAAGTGACATATTCGCTGAGTGGTTAAAAGATCTTGATAATCAATTTCGACTTCAAAATCAGAAAATTTTACTTTTACTAGACAATGCGACAAGTCATTTTAATCCAAACCTAAATTCATCTGATGAAGAGCCTGGTTATAGTGATTCTGAAGAATTGCATTCTACTAGGTCAAATAGTCATAGTCACAGCCGTGGTCATAGTCGTAGTCGCAGCAATCGTAGTCGCAGCAATCGTGGTCGCAGTCGTGGTCACCCCAGATTAAGCAATATTACTTCAAATAACCAACAAAGCCGTACTACTAGACAAAGTAAAGGCAAGCACAGTAGAAGCCGGGCAAGTGTTTATACACTTCCTGACTTATCTAATTATCAACTAACAAACGTTCAAATTAAATTCTTGCCTGCTCTTACTACTTCGCATCTTCAACCTATGGGTGCGGGAATTATTAAGTGTTTTAAAGCAAAATATCAAAAAAAATACATTCACCATATTCTAGATCAATTTGAGAGAAGTATAGATATTCGAGACCCTGAGTAAGTATGCTATATATTTAAAAGAAAGGGTATAGACTTATAGAGGTTTTAATGTATAGTAAAACTTCTATAAGTGCATATTTTTAGGATTAAGCTTTAACAATACACACTAAAGAATAATAGATTTTATAAAGCTTATGCACATATATATATATATATATATAAGCCCGCATTCATGTAGTATTTAGAGAGAGTATGCACTTGTAGTGAGTGCACTTATAGAGGTTTTACTGTAATATGCACTAATAAATTATTATTATTATTATTATTATTTGTTAGAAATAAATTAAATATTAGGGAAGCCATTGATTACGTAGCAAATTCATGGGATGAAGTAGATGAATCAACAATAGTAAATTGTTGGGGAAAAATGGGTATTTTGCCATTAGTGCCACATGACGATGTTGAACTTGCGCAGCATACATATTTAGAAATAATTGAATATGAAGAAAATGAAATAATCGATCTAACTGAAAGTGCAAATTTAACAGTTTCACAAGAAATAGATTCTTACCGAGAAATTAATAATGCTCATATTCCTACGGAAGAAGTACTTAACGATACCCAAATTGTTGAAACTATATTAGCGGAACAATTAGAACGTGAACAAGGTGACCCAGAAGATTCTGATGAGGAACCGCCAAAAATTTCTGCTTCTGAAGGGTTAAATGGTTTAAAAACTTTTATTTCATTTGCAGAACAAATGAATAATGATTTTTTCTTTAATAATAATGACATAAAAATATTTCGAAAATACTCACAATTAATGAAGCGAAAAACTACTGAATCAATGAAACAAAAATCTATCGTATATTTTTTTAATCAGGAAAATCAAGCTATTAACGATGAATCTCTTGACGATAATTTCTCTGGCAGTGGTAATGATAATTTCTCGGACCATGGTAATGATAATGAGTTCGATGATATTTATTCTAGTGACAGCTTTTCTAATTATCCTGATTATGGTTTTTCTGATAACTACGGTGGTTCTTCTGATGATTATGAGAATTAAATTGTGTAAATAATTTTATAAAACATGCAATTAACATTTGAGGTCAAATAATTACTATAAATTATAGGAATATATAAGAAATATATACGTTTTTAAAATAAATGTGTATTAAATAACTTTGCGCACAGTAACAATAATATGTGCAATTTATAATAACACAACAAAATAAACTTGAGCATTATATTGCGACTATAGAATAAATGAATTGTTACTTAAGAATTCCTTTATTATGACTTTAGTTAGTTCGAGTATAAGACATATGCAAAAGTAAGGCTTATAATACATAAAAGTATCTCCGACACAGTATGGTTCTATAGAAATAAATTAATTCTTATCACGGTCATGTTAATTATGTTTGAGCGTAAATTCGCTTTTCATCACAAGACAGCATCGTTTTATTCAGATTATATTCCAAGGTAATATGAAAGAAACTTATGCATTTTTCTAAATAAGATGAAACACTTTTATATATAATTTAAAAATAAAGTAACAAAATCAAATAAAACATAAAAAAAAGGAGCTTTAGTACTATCCATTACATATTTATTTCAGTTCTTGGAGCTTTAGTTTGTGCAATAAACTAAATCATGTATACGTTGTGGGACCTAATTTTTTTATTTATTTATTTTATTTTAAGATGTTAAGAGAAGTAGATACTCTAATATTAAGCCTATTCTACCTTCAATTCTAGGTATTTTACCAAAGCATTATCTTTTTTATTCTATGCGTTACTCCACCTATTTGTCTTCAAGTGCTGTTAGAGACTTCTTTCCATTGGTGACTAACTTCTTGCTAGGTCGCTTATAGTTTTATAACTAAAAGTGATCTGCTACACTTCAATAAGCTAATGTGTTTTTTTTCTTTGCAGCAAAAAATAGGTATGTATAGTACATACTGGAATATGCAATATATATTAAGTGTTGGTTCTCTCACTTCACTGACGCTCCTTTTATAGACTTAACATTTTACAGACATGTTTATTTTACAGATAATCAATTTATGACAAGTTCATATCATAGTTTATTTTACCGCAAGCTCATTATGTAAACAGTTTTTCACTGACAACTTATTTCATAGGTAAAGTAATTCTAGTTATTACTATTAGAGTTAGTTTAGAACTAGAGCTAATATGATTTATAAGAAATAACTCTTCCGTGAAATAAGCTTCAGTGAAAAAACTGTCTACAAAGTGAGCTTGTCAGTAAAATAAATTGTTCATGAAACAAACTTGTTTGCGAATTAATTGTCTGCAAAATAACTATATAGGTGAATTGGTTGTCGAAGTGATCTATATTCATTAAGTGTTAACCTATAGAAAACTTTTGCAAAACATAAGGTAATTTTGAAGGAACATTGAATTAGAATACAGTATAGTGAAATATGCTAATGGAATTCGCATATCATATTTGTATATATTTCACTGCATACCAAATAAATATTTTTATGAAGCCTTTTCTTAAAAAAAAAATGATGGTATGGCGAAATTAGTTTCGATTGACTTTAATAAAATATTGAAAATTTACTTTATAATAAATAAAGGAGATATATTTGAATTTAAATTTCTTCTGAATCATATCAACTTTCTTTATATCGAATCAGATATTGTCAAAAAGTTTTCTGAAGGTTAACACTTATCATATTGAATTATAGCTAATTACTGTATAAGGATATTCGTTCACAATCACTCTCTATATATTCACATATTCTTTATTTATTATCTGTTCTAAACGTGATTATATAGAAGGAAAATATATATGTATATATTTTTGATTTATAATATATTATGTGATAGTGATTATAAGCTAATTGTGATTGTATAGAGGTATTTTTATATATAAACAAACGGGTTAAAAATATGTGTGACAATATAGGAATTGTGATTATAGAGGAGGTGACTATAGAGGAGGAAGACTGTATATGTCTTTCGTTTTTTTACTGTTTATGTAATCATCAACGATTTTTAAAAGCTTTTAAATAAAAGAAACGAAAAAAACTAGCAAAGAATTTGAAGCCATATTATAGAAGATAAAATAACAAAGAATGTTTTTTTTTTTATAATCAATCTAATTTATTAACTCTTATTAGTTATATTAAACTTGATATATGTATATTTATACGTTATATATTAATCAGTATAATTTTTAAAACTATATATGTTACATTTTAATCGGTATAAATTTTAAACTCAGATATGTTAATTTTGAATTAACAGTTATTTAAGAGCAATGTACAACATATACATCATACCTGCCAGATAACAAAAAATTATTCTTCATTTTGAATGTCATGATAGCAGATCATATAAATTGTAGTAGTGATTTTTTTTTTTCGTTTTTTGATCTACAAATTTCACAATATTGATAACGCATGTTTTTTAAAATAGATATTTTACACCCACCTACCATATAAGTTGTTATCCAACTATTTGATTTTTACAGGGCAATTCCCAAATTTTCTGATCAAAATATGGTCAGCCAGGAAGAAACTTTTAAAATTTAAAGGATTTTTAGAAACTTTAAGCAAATATTTCTCAATGAATATTTAAATAATTCCAGAAACCATTTTTTTATTTTAATTCCATGAATATATATAATTAAATTAAAAAATTTTTTATCGAATTTGGTTAGATAGTCATGGAGAAAACTTTGCTTAAAGGTTTTAAAAAAGGTTAAAAATCTTAGAGAAAAGCAAAAAACTGTAGTAAAAATATCTTTTTTTAACTTTAAGCAAAGATTTCTCAACAGTTATCAAACCAAATTTGATGATTTTTTTTTATTTTAATTCTACAAACATGTAGAATTAAAATAAAAAAAATTTGTTGAATTAATCAGGTAGTCACTGAGAAATATTCATTTAAATTTTCAAAAAAATTTACTGCAGCTTCTTTTTGTAGATACAAAACTTCAATCAAAGTTTTCTTAATGATTAACTAATCAAATTTGATGAAATTTTTTTATTTTAATTCTATAGATATAATAGAATTAAATTAAAAAAATTTTCATTGAATTTTATTAGATAATCATTGAGAAAACATTACATAAAATTTTAGTACTGTTAGGGGCGGAAACGGCGAGTCTGTCGCTAGAAGACCAGAATTCTCGCACTACGTCAATTTCAAGGCTTGAATAGAGGCGTAAATAC